GCTGGGAGGAGGCTTAAAAGAAGAAGGTGGTTCAGGAGGGAGAGGATTTGCTCTGCCAGGAGGGGGCTTTAGAGTAGGCAGTCCAGTAGGAGGCCTTCCAGGAGGAGGTGGTACCAGTCCATTGTTGTTGCTGGATGTATCAAATTTGGAAGCACCTCCAGTGGATCCTAATTCTGCAGTTTAATTTAGTGAAGTATTTAAAACATCAGACTCAATGTGAAAATTACTATTTAAAAATTAGGCCTTTCTGTGATGACTTGAGTTATTACCCAACGATTGATGGTCAAGCTTCTCTTCTTTCATTGAATTTCCCAAAACGTGAGACTTGTACGAAGAACCTGAAACATTAAAACTTTCAGAGATATATAGAATTGAAATGGTTTAAACAACTAAAGATAACAGAAACACGATATTAGAGAATTATACCACTAGAATCAGTTAAACTCAGGCTAAGGAGGGGCCTCTCATCATTTTGTCCATCTTTTTTCCCAGTCCTACAGATTTTAGTACAGCATAAAAAGAGCACTGCTGCAACAACAAGAGTCACTGATGCAGTAACAACAACAGCAATGACAATTTTTTTACGATCATCTTGTCCTTTAACTTCCTGTCCATTTACTGGCTCTGAAGCTTGCACAGTCGAATTTTTGGAATTGGAAGGAAAAAATGATGCAGCAGGGCGCCTAGACCTAGGAGTTTGAGAAGTGGAAGGTGTTGGAGCAGCGGATGGTACTGGACTGAGTTGAGGAGATCCTGCTGCAGGGGCTGGAGAAGGTACCTCAGCAGAGCTCCGACGCAATTCACTGCCCAAATTCCTTCTTGGAACATAAGGCCTGGGAAATAGGGACTCAATATACTTGGTATACCATATCTTAGAGGCACCCTCTTCTCCAGAGACACGGGATAGGAGACCATGCCTTAAACAATCTGAAAGAGTTTGTTTCACCTCAGGATGCAGGACACTAATAAGCTTCTGAAATCTTTCTTTTCCTGATGACTGTCTTTTTGAACTAATTTCATCTGTGCCACCAGATGTTTCCTCTTCTAACCATAAGTGAAGATGTTCAATAGCTTCTGTCAAATGGACCAAATCCACCTGGCAACTTATCCATAACAGCTGTGCCTGCAAACCACAGAATTTGCAAATTTTAATGTCTACTTTTGCAAAAACAAGCATATAACAGAGTTAATGAAGAATAAGAAACTTCATTGGTGAAAAGTGAAAGCTCAAATACATCAAAATATCATTTCTCATATAAGTTTTTTCAATTCTGTTTTGGCCTTTATTATCTTCAATAGATATACAACTTTGTTAGAATTATCAAGATATCGCTTTGTCAAATACTACTTCTGGTATTCAAATAAGTTGTGCACAAACATTTTAGTAAAATTGACAAAATCAAAATCCATTTCAGTACAAGAAAATAGCTTTGTGCCTTAAATACTTCATAAGCTCCAAACATACTTCCACGAACTAAAAAGCTTTAGATTATTTAACTAATTTTCGGATCTACTGTTCGGTCCAGATATATGATATGATGCTAATGAAATAAGAGCAGAGAGGCGTACTACAGAAATCCCTATATAAGATATGGTTTTGATACAAATTTAAAACGAATAACATTAATATGAACAAATTTATCATATAAGATATACCACACTCATATGATAAGGTATCTTACTGAAACAAAAAGATGTTATATAGTCTCTTACCATGTCCCCATCAATCTTTCCAGTTGCTGGATCAACAAGTTGACTGAGAAACACTTCCTCTGTGATTTTCCTCTTCTCTGAGCTTATTGATGTTGAAGCACATAGCAGAATAACCAAAACAATGAAACGGCTTGTCCTCATAAGACCTATTTGTTGTTGAATTGTCATTCCAAACGTTTAATATCCTTCTCATTTCATCAATGCCTAAACCTCTCATAACCAAAACCCTAGAACAGCTTCATCACGCAAAACCACACAAAAGCTTCTAACTTTCACGATTTGGCACCAACCCAATTCAATTTTCCTTAAGAAAACAGCTATTATATCCCAATTTCCACCATATATAAGAAAATCTTCACATACCCACGAAAGTTTTTCTGATGAGAAGTTGAACTCAGAATACAACAGAAAGAATTGAAGAAAACTTTCCCCAAAGCTGCCAAAATATTGAACCAAATCACCTGCAACACAAAACCTTCGAAGGCTCCTCGTGTGAAAACCTTTCAATGTGTCTTCGATTCTGACCAGATCCACCGAATGAGCTTAAGAAATGTCAGCTGTTAAATTTGTATACAAAACATTGGCGGTATTGACCGGAACCTGTCGAAAAGGTGAAATTTTTCTTCAGAACGTTTCGTCTCAAAGCTGTCAAGGGAATGACTACGTTTCCTGTCTCTTTCCTTTTGGTTTTTTTTTTTTTTTTTTTTTTTTTTTTTTTGTTGCTCTATTAAAAAAAATTAATCTCGTATTATTATTCTTTTTTAAAACTCCCAATTGTACCCAGTATGTTGTTTGTGTCCTAATGGAATATTTGCAACACAAACCAGACGTGAGATGTTGGCTAATCATTGTTTTATCCACTAAATTACACTGCAACGGTAACATGCATTTTATTTCATAAAACTTTTTTTTTTCTTTTTCTTGTAGAAAGAAAATTAAAACGCTTTTTGTGACTATAAATGAAAATCATCTTCAATCCAAAACTATTCTAAAATTGAGACCTCAATGAAACCTATATAAAATCAACACCAATTAGAGAATATAAATACTTTTATTCTTATTTTCCTAGTCTTTTCTTCTATAGGAACTAACAAATTATAAGCAGATTGAAATTAATTTGAAAGAACCAAAGATATTATGTGCCCAATTGACCAATTTAAATTTAAAAAAACCCAAGTCGATACGACCAGACTCCGATCCCTACACCAAAGCCAAAAGTCGAAGAGAAAAAGAGGGTAAGACCTTGAAATCAATCGGCGATATAGGAGTACTCCGCCGGGGAGCTGCACCTAAACTAACTATTACTTAGGCTAATAAATTTTTTTTTTTCCAGAGAAAATAATCAAGTTTCAATAATGCACTAATACAAATGTAGTAAATATTTAAAAGGAAAATTAAATGTGCACTATAAATATGATTTCTTGGTGAGGAGGAGTGTAGGATGCAATTTTTAAATGCAAATAACAATTATTTCAAAAACAAAAACTTGAAATCTAACTATGATAATATAAGAGGATAAGAAATGTATCTCAAAGACAAAATAACCTAATAACTAAACCTTTCTTTTCCGTTCTTGTTGCCCTATCCAATCACCTACGCGCATTTGATCTTCATCTCTCTTTTCATCTTTCTTTTCATCACTCAGTTGTCTAAGTCACCGACGTTGTCATCGTTGTTGGAGAGAATAGACTTTTACAGTTTTGAGGAAGAATAATGCTAGATCACATGATTCTTGATGCGTGTGGAACATTTTTTTTAACTGTTGATGTTTGTAGAACATTTTTTACTGTTGATGCATGTACATATTTTTGGGTTTTTATTACAAATAGTCTGAGATTTGCCAAATTATCACTTTTGATAGTTTATATTTTTTTTTTCTGACATTATTGGTCCCTTGCGTTACACCTCACACGTCAATTTGGTCCTGCCATTAGGTTCCTTCAAAATTTTCCGTTAGACTGCTGACATGGACACCACGTGGATTAAACAATGTTTTAAACATTTTAGGTTTTATCACAAATGGTCCTTGAGATTTGCAAAATTATCATCTTTGGTTCTTTGTTTTTTTTTTTTTGGCATTATTGGTCCTTATATATTTTTTTAAAAATAGTTTAACATTTAAAATATTTTAGAAAAAATTTAATTAAAAAAATAGAAATTTTTCAAAACATAATTTGTTTTTTTTATTCAAATCCACTTGGCATGTTATTATTGAACATGTAGCCATATACATGTTACATCAAATTTGTTAAATTATGTTATAATTTCTATTAAATTTATGAAAATTTCAACAGAACCTCACGGATTTGATGTGCCATGTATGTGGAACCTACATGTCCAATAATAACATGCCAAGTGGATTTGAATTTTTAAAAATGCATGTTTTGAAAATTCTCTCTCTTTTTTTAAAAAAGATTTTAAATGTTGAACTAGTTTTTTAAAAACATTTCTTCATTTAGATCCACTTGACATTTTCTCATTGACTATGTGTGCACCACATATGTGTCATGTCAGCAATTTAACAAGAAAAAAAATAACGAAATCTCATGGTGGGATCAAATTGATGAGTGAGGTGTAACATAAGGACCAATAATGTCAGAAAAAAATATGAAGGACCAAATGTGATAATTTCGCAAACTCAGGGACCATTTGTGATAAAACTCAAAATATTTAAAACATTGTTTAATCCACGTGGCATCTACATCAGCAATCTAACGGAAAATTTTGACAGAACGTGACGGTGGGACCAAATTGATGTGTGAGGTGTAACATAAGGGACCAATAATGTCAAAAAAAACATAAAGGACCAAAGGTGATAATTTGGCAAACCTCAAAGACCATTTGTGATAAAAAGCCTATATTTTTAATCATTGATATATGTAGGGTATTCTTGACCGTCCATGCATGTGTGCTGGGACAATTTTTCATAGCGCAGCTCTTTGAGTTGTCACCCTTTTCTTTGTTGCTTCATATTATATTTATTTACAATTTTGTGAAAGAAAAAAGAAATGGAATGTGTCGTTGTTCTGAATCTGAAGCATGACCAAAAGTTTGGACAACGTGTTGTGAATGACTGTCGAGAAGGCCAAGAAGTTTGGCAGCAGGGCAGCCATTGACCCTTTCTTTCAATTTAACTTGTTGCCAATTCTTTAAGTTAGGCTGCCGACTTCCATATCCGTTCTTCTATTTTTCTTCTTCGTATTTTATATATGCATGTTTACGATTTTCTTTCTATCTTTTTTCTTCTTCTTCTTCTTTCTTTTTTTTTTCTGTGCAGAACTTGACAATGGAAGAGAAACACACTCCTGGAAGCAAACGAAGGAGCATGTTGTAATGTCACGCTTAAGCGCGAGTCTCGCCAAAGTCATTTTCAGCGACGCAAATTAGCATTTCTCTTGTTACTAAGTGATTTATTTACTTCATTTTTAATTTCTAACTATTAAAATGATTCGACAGATAAATTACTTTGTTCCACTTGCTGAATTTTATGTTCCAAGAGGACAATAATTGCCTTATCCTAGGTGGGATGAACCACAATTACTAGGTCACTTATTCTAGCATTGGCAGCACATGAGTAGCCCTGAACTTTCAAGATAACTGCACCTATATAGAAAAGCTGCCCTTTTCTGGCTGTGCCCCACTATCCGAAGTCCCTCCAGAATTTTCACGGGTTGGAAATTCAGCATCAATCATGAAGATACTAATCCTGCTTTAGGAAAAAGTAGCTCTGCCAGATGCCAATACCATTTGCCGTAGCCTGCACTGCACAAAAGCTTCATTGTAATAAGTAGTCAAAAACTTAATGCCATAGTTGAAAAGAAATATATAAAAAGACTCTGCACAGTATGGGGAGGAGGGGCAACATGACAAGAGAAGAGGCACCCAACTCGTGTAAGTATGTGACAAATATTCCTTTCACACAGCCTTTTGTGAATATATAAAAATTTATCTCAAAAGCAAAAGCACAAATTCACTACTGTACTTTAACAGCATAGAAAAGGTTAATTGCACTAAAACTCCATCATTGATCAAAGAAATGCTTTTCCAGAAAAATTACTCTTGCTTCAAATGAACTGACCTGAAAAGGAAGTGTCTGACTGAGCTAGTTTAAATATGGCATGACTTGACCACCACTCAACCCATCATGCCCTATAAAGATTCTTCCATGGATCAGATTCATTGAGTTTTTTTTTCTTCAAGGATGTCATGTGCTGATGAATTTTTTTTTTTCCATGTGAACAGCAAGCCTCATGGTCAGTTTTCAATATGTTCTGCACAAGCAACAATTAATCCATGAGTTTCAAGGTTGAATGGATCTTTTGTCAATTACCTCTTCCATTTTGCCACATGTAATTTCTTGTCACCAATGAGCAAGGATCAAGAAAAAGAAATATTCCAATTAGCTTTACAGCCCTTCAAGTATTCTGAGGGAATTTATGCTCTACTTTTCTCAAAAGTGCTTCTTCTCCCACACTATAAGAACCAACAAGCCTCAAACCTCTCTCCACCACACACTCAAAAGTTCAGTTTCTCTAATCTTCAATTCAATGACTACTACTCGCAAGCAGCTTGAAGTTCTAACAGATGATCAAACTCCACACAAATGGTGTGTTTTGTTGAGAGAAGATGTGTTCAAGAAGTTCATGTCTCAAGGCAGTCCAGCAGTGCACAAGGTTTTTGGTGGAGGATCATTGTTCAGTCCATTCTTGTTTGGGAAATTTTTTGATCCTTCTGATGCCTTCCCACTGTGGGAGTTTGATGCAGATATCTTGTTGGCTGGTCTCAGAAGCTCTGGTCAAAGCAGTACTGTTGACTGGTTTCAAACAGATCAAGATTATGTACTAAAAGCAGATCTACCAGGTAAGATTTCCAAATACTTCTAATATATATCTTAGTGATTCAAATCATCATGAACCAAGGAGACTGCATAGTTGAATTGTGTATGTTATTTTGGCAGGCTGCAATATACAAACCTAAGAAATATAGGTGGTATTATTCCTTAATTCACAAGTAAACCTTTTGAGTTTTGAGAGACAAGGAAAGGAGGCCTTTTTATCAAACATTTATGTTGGGTTTTGTTGCTTTTGGTAATTGAACATTTAATGTTGGGCTCCAAATGGGTCTTTTTTTAGTACAAGCAATAGTCTAAACTAGAGGAAAGGAGATTTTTCGCACACACACACAAATGATGTCATGGGAGTTCGAACTTAAGACCCTTTTCCACTGGGCTAGACCCCGTTAGTAAAATGGATCTTTTTAAAATCTGATACATCATATGGGATCAAAAATCATAACTTCATCTTAGTCCAAATCAGTTTCCTTGCCCCCTCACCACCTAACTAGCCCAATAGGCTTATTTATAAAGAGTTTTGAACTATAAACTAAAAATTCAAGAGTGCAATGAAACAGAACAGTATTTTTTATTTGGTGAAACAGGAGATGGGAAAAACAATGTTCAGGTCTATGCAGAAAATGGGAAGGTTGTGGAAATTAGTGGGCAGTGGAAGCAGCAAGGAGGAGAGTCCAAGAGCACAAAAGATTGGAGAAGTGGGAATTGGTGGGAACATGGGTATGTTAGGAAGCTTGAGCTCCCACAAGATGCAGATTGGAGAAGAATAGAGGC